TTTTATAATGCTGCAATTAATTCTACTTTAGGTATATATAAATAAGAGTTGAAAGTAGGAATTGGAATACTTTTGTTCACCAGTTTTGAGAGAAGTGTTATTCGCAATAGCCCAGAGGTGGAAGTAACCAAGTTCCCACTGACAGATGAATGCATAAGAAAAATGTCATGTCTACACATAATGAAACATTAGCCTTAAAAAGGAAGCAAGTTCTAACACATACTGCAACATAATGAATCTTGAAGATATGCTAAGTGAAATAAATCAGCCATAAAATGGCAAACTCTGATTCCACTCATGTGAAGGACCTGGACTTGTCAAATTTATAAAGACACAAAGTAAAGCTGTAGTTGCTAGGTGCCGGGGGGTGGTGAGTGAAAGACACCAAGTTTTGGTTTTGCAAGATGAAACAAGTTCTGTGGGTAGATGATAGTGATGACAGCTGTAGGCCAGTGGGCACAGTGGAACTGAACTCGTGCCTAAAAACTATCTAAATGGCATGGTTTTTGTTATGTATATTTTAGCACAGTTTTTAAAAGGCAAGGGCAGAACAGAGGCAAGAAGGGGAAGTAAAAGCTGTGAACACGAGTGAAGTGAACTTTTGTGAACAGCATTATAAGCACCTCAGGTGAGCTTGTTATGAAGATCCATCCTCTGGAGTCCTTAACTGATCTGTTTTTGTTCATCAGTGTTGTCCTTGATGGGCACTTGGTAGCCAACTCTCTATCACTGCCCATGTTGCTTCCTTTTCCCTTGGTCTCTGAAGGCCGATGGTTCATGAAGAATCTTTGAGGCCGTCCCTGCCTACTGGTACCCACTTAGCAGTGTCAGCTTTCTGTCTTAGCATCTCATTCTGGGTATGCAAGCTTTCAGCAATTAACATCTCATGCCTGACCTCTCTGCCAGGCTGCATCTGGAACTGCAGCTGTCTGCTAGACTCTGCTCCAGTATCTCCAATTGTTTGGCCCAAACTGGACTCTGTTTTTCCTTGCTCTGCTGTCCCTGGCTGTAGTGAAAGACACAGATCATTGGATCTCAGGTGTAGGAGACAAACACTAGGAATCCCTTCCCCCATCTTGCTCCCAGCTCAGCTCAACTGTCAGCATTGTTGCTTGCCCACTCTGTGACCACATACTACACAGGCATCCTGGTTTCCCCATCCACTATTTGTACTCAGCTCCCTTCTTTTTTCAAATCAACCATTCAGCAGCTACCACCCTCCACAGGCTGGTTACGTTTGCTGTGGTCCTCCCTAAGGCTACTCAGTAAATATTGCCTGTCTTCTTCCCCTGAACTCTTGAACCTCAAGTGTTCTGGGAGGTCATATGGGTAATTCTAGCAATGAGTTGTGAAGGAATGTGACATGAGTCACTTCCCAAGAGCACACAGGCCAGTATAATACCAGTGTTCTTTTCCCTTGGGCATGGTAACTAGCGATGTCTGAGATGTTGGCTGCTTTGTCATCTTGTGCCTCTGGATAAATATACTGAGCAGGGTTCCCGTTGTTGATGTGATGGGCATGTAGAAAGAATGAGAGACACACCTTCACTGCCTTCAGCCTCTAAGAGCTGAAGGTTATTAGCGCAGCATAACCCAACCTGTGTTGACAAATACGGACCCTGCTAGTTTTTAAAGCTCTAGTAAGAACCTGTGCCTCAGTGGATTCTGCTTGCTCGACCTGATAGGAAGGTGGTAGAAGGCACAGTGGCCTGCTTAGGCACCAGAGCACTTCTCTCAGCAGTTTGGTTCCCTGTAGAGCACCAGTAATTTAGATGCAGTTGTGCAGAAATGGATGAAACGTCCACTTGCCTCTCTAAAGGCCACCTTCTAAATTAATTAGAAGCTTGGGGTGAGCAGAGAGGACATTCTGTTAAGCTGGTGTTCTTTTCAAAATTTCGAGTCTATGATACTTTCAAGTCTACGATACTTCTTTTTTTAATAGTTTTTTTTTTCCCTAAGACTTTGCCAAGTTGTGCTTTTATGAGAATTAGCAGTATTTCTCTCCTGGAAATACAAAAGCATTGTACTTTCCAGTTAGGAGAGTGACCCATTTCCTCACAAAGACTTCTGCATCTGTAGGGGCTGCCTGTGATGCTGAGTGGCTGAGGACAGCCAGGTCTCACATACCAAATGTTCTGAGCATCAGCTTGACAGAAGGCAGGCAGGACCCAGCCTGTTGTGGTACCCAGGTGTCCTTAGAGCAGAGTGAAAACCCAATGGCCCTTTTGCCTGTCTCTGACTAGAAAAGTGGATATCTACATGCCTGAAATGAAGAGAAAAACAAAAGCTATGCTGTGCCCTGTGTGTGTGCTGCCTGCTGAATCCCAGCAACATAAAATGACAAGAGAAATGGGCAAGAGACAGAGATTTAATTGAATAAAAACTCCAGGCTGTGACAGGGGTGGGAAGACACAAAGCAGTAATTAACAACATAATTTTTTTAAATGATGATACAATTAATTAACATCCTGGGTAAGTGCAAAGGGGGAGGGGAGCATCTCTCAGCCAAGAAACACTGAAATAAAGGAGAGGAGACTCTGGTGTCTTTTGCAAACATCTATGTGCAAATGGCCCCGGTTATCACAACTTCAGCAAAGCTCACCCCCCACCCCCCAGGGGTTTCTTGCACTAGGGGAACTCAGTGAGCCAGTGCATGTTAAATTTCAGTTTATTCTACATCAGCTTTCCATGAATTCTCATCCATGAGGGAGGACTCCTGGGCTAATGAAAGGAGAAGCCTGTTCATATCATTCATGCTTCAGGATGAGGAGGACTGATCTGGTCACCCTTGGTAGGGACTTGGGGGGAGGGAACCCAGGAGCTAAAAGCCTTCCTGGAGTGGGCTTCCATGCCTAATGTATCCCGAGGCTGATGGAACTAAAGCTATTGACTGGGGTGGTAAGAGGTCTGGCCATAACCAGGGCACAGTTTTCTGAAACTGTTGGGAAAGAGTAGCTGTGACATAGAAGGGTCTCTCAGACAGGCAGCGCTAATCCATAATTCATGCAGACTACACCCTCCTCTCTAAACCCTGCCTGAGGGTTTGGGGTGGCAGCTGGGCATGCTTTTAGAACCCACTTCTGGGAGAATGGGATGCTCCTTATGACCCAGAAAACTCAACTGTCCCCTTCCTGCTGTGTGGCTGCAATGGTCACCTTAGTGTGGCCATCGTTGTCAAGAAACACAATGAAGTTGGTTGCTTGCTGGGACTCTTGTTATGACCTTGTGGGTTTTTTCCCTCTCAAGAGTACTTCTGAATAGGGGACTGCCTGACTGGAAAGGCTTATCAATTGTAAGATATTTGGGGAAGAAATCTTTATACACCAGCCCCTAGCCCAAGACTGATACTCAGTGGAGTCTAGATTCATCTACAGTTACTAGAAAAGTAGACTGCTTCTGTTGCCACAATACCCTGTTGAGTCATGTCCAATCTGACCATTCTTCTGGCTAGCAGATATAAAGTTAGATCAGCAGAGAAACATGGTGGCTTGACTTAAAATGGGGGTTACTTTATTAAATCACTACTGCTATAGCATGGGACATATGTAAAGAGTAAGACACGAGGTATGAGGATAGCTCTTGCATTCTTGACCTTCTGTCGTTGAAAGAAGGGATTTTTCCAAGCGGACTTGCTTCCTTGCAAGTCTTACAGCACTGAAAATCGGTACTGTGAAGCCACAAGTTGGAGTGGAAATTCACTTTCACGTGCTTCCCACAGGTTCAGACTTTAGACTGAGCAGATCACCCTACTCACAGGGCATGGTGGAAAGGCCACTAGTCACTCAGTAGGAATGTGCTATTATAAGTACAGTCATTCATTTTTCCTTTCTAAACTGAATTTGGCCTAAGGTAGGTATCTAATAGAGAAACAAACAAGCTAAAAGCCTCTCACTGAGACTGAAACAAACAACACAGAATACTTATTAGTTTATAGAACTAAAGTTTAAGGAGAGTCATTGACCCAGAGTCTGTGGGAGCAGAACTAGTCTCTGGCTGACTCGGTTTCAACTAAGAGGAGGTTCTTCATCAACAGGCAGACTAAAAAATGTGGTTTGGATTGCAAAACATCCCATTCAGAAAAGAATACGTTATCTAGATTTTTCTTTGCTCTGTTTAGGCATTTTAAACAGCTGCTTGGTACTTTGTGGAATTATAAAGCTATGTATAACACAGAAATCCTTCTGGAACATATGCGCCCCCTTTCTTTACAATGAAGGTTATTTTTGAGAAGTAAGATCATGTTTTCAAACAAATGTGATCATTAACTGTGGCGTGTTGGAAAACATACGGCGTGGTTAGTTTCAGCGGGATCGCTCCTAGTGAAAGAGACTAAGTTCCCATGAGGAATCAAAATGCTTCCAGTTGGGGAAAGCCAACAAAGCAGGAAGCAGGGATCTCCCTACAGAGTCACAAACATGGCAGAGGTCTCATGGTTTCAACATGGGACAAGAGGACCATGTCTTAAGAGGCTTGTGTCACAGCAGTGAAGAGCCTCCAAGAACAGCTCACCTCAGAAAGGCTCCTAGATTGGTAGGTCCCATTCTACCTGGGCACTGAAAATATGGCCCCGGCTCCATCCTACCCCTGCCCTCTCCAGGGGTGAGTGCTTGGTGGAGGCACACAATTTCAGATTTACTCTGCCTTTCCCAAAAGACTGCTTATTTTACACTGTATTTCCCAGAACCAACTTCTGGGCTCTCCACTCTGTTTTGTATCTCTAATCATTGTGTTTTTCTTTCTTTCTTGACAGCAGACCCAAACAAAGCAAAAAACCACAAAAACATCACCTTGGGAGACAGAAAAGACTAAGACAGACAGGTCTGATCACAAACAACAAGTGTCTCGGCCTTGCCCTGCACAGGAGCAGTGAAGACCATGGGCTGGCAGGCAGTGGCTGCTGCAGCAGCCGTCACTGTGACTGCACAAACACTGCGTTTAGACGACTGACAAGTGCGAAAAGAACGTTGCTGAGTCCCGTTTGTGTGGCTTGGCTGTGCGGCTCATGGTGTCGGAGGTGGTTTTGGAGATGGGCATGAGCTCTCACTGTCGAAGCTGGCAGCTCGGCCCTGCCACTGAGGGGAGAAGAAAACCTGGTTATTGATTGCTGGGGGAATTGACTTCTCAGAGTCACTGGCCCATGCATTGTATCCACCTCTCCCAGCCTCAGTTAGCTTTCTAGACCTTTGCTGTCAGCCATGCAAAAACAAAGATACAAGCTCAGAGCTTCCTGTTTGGAATACTTTGTTTTCAGAAAAGATCTACTGCAGATATAATTTCAGCTTCCTTTACAATATGGTGTGTGTGTGTGTGTGTGTGTGTGTGTGTGTGTGTGTGTCTATTTTAACGAGGTGCTATGACTGAACCATTTCTGAGTGCTTCAGCCATTTTTCACACACCGAAAATCAGATTATGTTAGCAGCAAAGAGAAGCAGCGTGTGCCCTTACTGCCAAGAGCCTCTGATCATGAATTATTAGTGATTTGTCTGGGAGCTGTTAACACAGGAAAAAGCAACCCTGATGCTGCTTTGGTTGGGCCCTCTTCTTCAGTCTTAAGGCATCTTATGAGTATTTGCACAGGCTTGTGAAGGGGCAGGAGGTGAGGAGACATAGCCCTGCCTATTCCTCTACACTCCTCCTCCCAGTGCCCCTCCAAGCCCCATTGGAGTGGGTGATGCAATGAGGCGTAATGGAGTGAAAGAGCAGGCAGAGGAAGGATGGATGGGCCTGTGCCTGGAGCCATCAGACCCTTCTTCAGATGAAAAAGCAGTCATAGCAAAGCGATGTTCTCTGGGCAGAGATCTGACCCTATGAATATTCCTGACCTATCTGTCAGGGCTTTAACTTCAAAGTGAGTCAGTGTCCACTGTTCACTCACTCTTTTGTGGCTGGGAGAACCAGTACTTTCTCATTGCTTGCAGGGCAGGCTCCAGAAGGAAGGGGGACAGAGAGACAGAGAGGGAGGGAGGGAGGGAGGGAGGGAGGGAGGGAGGGAGAGAGAAAGCACCCAAGCACTAAGTGGTCTAGATGGTTTTCTGAACCACAAATGCAGCCCCTTTCTGCTTCTCACAAGCCATAGGGATCTCTTTCCTGGAGAGATGGAGTTGAGGGAGCATGTGTTCAGATGCTGCAGGAGGAATCCAGGACAAAGTTGCCCTTCCTCAACAATTTCCAGACAGAGCTGAGCTCTCTGGGAAGTAGACTATTTGACTTTCAGTACTACCACTGCAGTAAAGGGGACACCTATAGGGCCAAAGAGAGATAATGGTCCTTCTCTGGGTTTCTTTCTCCTTGGATCTCCCTGTATAGTCATGCTGAAGGTTTCTACAACTAGCTAAAGGGCTGTTGGCATGGATGACAGTCACAGCATGCCCCTGATCTGAACTATCTCACTAGGGGTGAACTTGGGACATCACCCAGTGAAACCCTTGTATTCTGACAAGCAAGCAAACAGAGACAAAGAGAAGTCAAGATCCAGACAATTAGGGGCAGATCCAGGACCCAGTTGGGTCTCCACGACCCCAACACATTGTCCTTTCTAGTTCATCCTGCCACTGTGCTGGCGTGTGACCACCCACTAGGGGAGGAAAAAGACACACAGTGTAATCCGAAGCCTAACCTCTTCAGGTCCACACCAGGTACTTACTCCTAACTCCAGTGGCTGTCTCTCCGCTTGCAGCATCCACGTGAGTGAAATCACACCCGAGGGGTTCGCTGGTGAAATATTTTAGATACATAAATGCCTGCTTCTTGAGCCCCCTGAGATTTCTGACTCCAGTGTTTCTTAACCAGAAGGCGACATGAGATGACTTCCTTGTGCTTCCATTCAGCAAAACTTCAAATTTCTCCCTTCCCACCTCTAGTCAGTGCAAGGTACACAGCAATTACGGGCTTCTCCCTTGGGTAAGGGTGTCACTTAAACAACCTCACCCACAGGCCAGGTCAGGGCAGAAAACATGAAATGACTAGACAATGGGCCTTTTTCCTTTCTACAACAGCCCAGAGAGCGGTCACACAGAGTGTGAATGTTTATATGGCACAAATGAGGGGACACTGGCTCTCCTCCTAGCCCCTGCTTTTTCCTATGCAGATAAACAAAGGGAAGAGATGGCTTCATGGACAATGCAAAGGTGAGTGATTACAGCAGACTTATCATGGTGGCTCCGAAATAGCAGAAAGCCTGTCCCCAGCACACAGGGAGCTTATTGTTCTGGGGCAGCTGTGTCCTACTCAGGTCCTTTGCTGCATTGAAATGGGTAATGTTCCAACCGAGATCTCAAAATCTATGTCAGATGACCTGAGCATGGTCTTTTGTTAATCAAGCACCTTGAATAAGGTCACTGGTCAAACCAGCTCTGTGTGTGGGGAGCAACAATGACAGGCAGCACTAGGAGAGAAGGGCACTGGCTATGGCTTAATGGATTTTTAGTCATGAGAGATCCAAGCAGGGAAGAAATACCTTTCCAGTTAATTTGTTTCCCTCAACCTTAATTTTAAACTCCAAACAGGCAAGCACACATGGTGCTCTCCGTTCTCATTAATAAAAAAAGAAATGATCACAGCGTGGGAAACTCTGCTGAGAGAGGTGTGAGAGAAACATGGAGGGCTTCTCGGAGATTAGGCCATTTATCATCTCGAAAGCTGGGAAGATTTCTTTATAGGTTACATAAATGCAAGATCTGAGTTTCTAGCTAAACAGCCCCAAAGAAGGCAAGATGGGAGCCCATGGGATGACTGGGAGAACACAGGTGAAAAGAACCCCAGGAACAGAGTGACTAGGTCATATTAACCAGGCAAGGTTGTAGACACATTTTTTAAAAAGGTACTTAAACTGTGGGTGTTAAGAGGAGCAGTGAAAACCAAACCGATGCATACTACCCAAATCCTAAGTTGCCAAGACAAATGTCCTTTTCAGGAGAAGCTGTCCTCTGAGGAGAAAATGTGAGGAGAGCAGGTGGGGGAGGGGCACTCGCCATGCTGCCCGGTGTGCCAGGTCAAGAAAAAAAAAAAAAGTAAACCCAAAGGATATGAATCAATTTAATCTCTTTTTTCGTTTTCCATATACAGTTACTTTCCCTTCACTGTCTCATTAAATATTCATTTTCAAGGGCTTCTCTCCACTTTATCTTTCTTGCCTTTGTCATCTGGACTAGACAGTTGGAGTTTCTCAAAGAAAAAGGACTTGGAATCAATTATTTGGCTTAATTAGACAGTATTCAACATGATTCCAGGATCGAGGCCCAGCTTTTCTGGGATACTTTGCCCTTCGCTTCAGCCACTGCTCTGCTCATTTCTTTCTTTGTCAGGGGCAGGCGGGAGGGGCCTGCAACAATGACCCTCTATTACAGATTCAAGATAGGAGAAGCAGCTATGGCTCAACACGGGGGTTCCTGAGCCCATTTGCCTGTGTTAGCATGTATCAGAAAAGTTGACATGGGGGCATCTTTTCTTCTCATTTGTTAACCAGAAAACCAAAGACCAGAGGAGGGCAGTCAACTTCTTGAAGTGTCACAGCCTACCAAAGTCCTCTTCGCTTACATTCCATTCCAGGCCCCCAAACTACCCGAGACTGGTTAATATATTTATCCTATTCTTAAATGTTTCCACAGTATTATAACGGAAGGGGCGGGATTAAGGCATTACATCCTGTTCCTGGATTGAATCCACATGGACTTTGGTGAGGTGTTAGGAGGGTTTCAGGTTGGCTGGAGCTCTGCCCAGTAGTGCCTACTTGTGACTGGGAGTAGGAACCTCACTCATACCATGAAGAGAGCCTTCTGGTTGAGGGCAGGGCTCCACAAAGGCAGAAGGAGCCCAAGGGACTGGTCTCTCTTACTGAAGAGCCACAGATATGGAAAAAAAAAAAACAAAAAAAAAACACCACAGAAGCCACAAGACTGGATGCATGGAAAGGCCTGAGTTGGCAGGATTTTTGCCTATTCCTGGCTCCTTGATATTGCTTCAGGGTCTGGGGAGGTGAGCCGACTAGCCTGGCTCCCTGAAAGTCTCATTCTCCAACAGATTTCAACATGTCTAATCCCCTTAGCTTCTGCTCTTTCTGGGGACATCTTGAACCATGGTTGGGATTGCTGTACCTACTCTGAGAAGGGAAGGAGGTCTTCAGGTCCTCAGGTGTACCATGCCTTTTCTGATCAGAGTGGGGGAAGGGGTATTCTTAAAGGCCATGTGGGGGAAGGGAGAACTCTCTAGTTTGGAATTAAGGGTTTTTCTGTTTTTTTTTTTGTTGTTGTTTTTTTTTAACAGTTCTCTAGACGTAGTGAGTACCTACCAAAATGGGAGAATTATCACCAGGTTTCCCAGGATGGGCTGGGTATGAGATACTAGAAATGAAACTGGAAGCCTGACTGACCACCCCAGCATCCCAGCACACTTGAGGAAAAGTAGGCCTGGGAACCACCAAGAAAAGTGAAGGGAGGGGACTTAGAAGGCTGGTAATTTAGGGTCCAGATTATGGGAGGTCTGGGCAGTGGGAGCCAGTGGTCCTTCGAAAGGGCAGGACCAGGAGAAAAGTGTTCAGGCAGATGTATCCTGAGTCTGGAAAGAGTAGGAGTGTTCATCTGCAGGGTTTGGTGGAGGGCGAACAGACAGTAAATATTCCTCAAAGCTGCCATTAAGAGAGGAGTAATGGCCTCAGAGGAGGCCAAGCCTGGAGGCCCAGCCTTGTTAGAACTCAGGCCTCCAGCTTTAATCAGATGGTGTGACACCACATACCATACTCTCTCCTAGCTGTGGTAAGAAACTGTGTGCTGAAGAGAGAACATGTTCTTTGGCTATCTCATCTAATGAGATAAACTGCTAAGCTGTAGCCGTCTGGAGCCTCAGGGAACTTACTGTTCTGATGGGGGTGGAATTCCTTGCCAATTCTGACCTCACCCCCTTGGGGCTTACTCCTACAGGACTAAATTGGCCCAGGAGCTTTGAGAAAGCTTTTCAGGCCTGGCACAGTGGACTTCCGGGAACTTCTTCAGAGTTCTTACTTTCCATTAAGGACTCGGTGTTGCCGCTGAACTTTTGCTATTTTTAAGGCGAGGTCCTGTGTAGTCCACATTGGCTTCAAACCTATAAAGCTGAGGATGGCCCTAAGCTATGAATCCTGGCAGACACTGGGGTTATCGGTGTGTGCCACCACGCCTGGCTTTAGGCAGTGCTGGAGAGCGAACGCAAGGCTTCATGCATGCTATGTCAAGAGTCTACCAACTCAACTATGTCCCTAGCCCCATCACTGTTAATTTTGAAATGCTCACAATCAGGGACATTTTGCCAGGCAGTCTCCATCTTCTTTCTCATTTGTCTGCTATGCACTGGATGTTCCCCTTTCCCATAAAAGGCGGAGGACTCACAGCAGCCGTCTGTCATTCTCCAGCCCACGACATCATGCAGTAAGCATGCCAGTGGCCAGGCAACCTCACCCACCTCTTTGAAGGATTTCTTTACCTCCACCAAGGAGTGCCAGTGTGCAATGGGCTTCCGTGGGTATGCCAGCATCTCATTCCAGTGGTCTCTGCCAAGGCCTTCAGCATTGATCCCCACTCTACAGACTCCTATGATCTCATTGTGGCCAACTCTGAAGGAGAAACAAAGGTCTTAGTATGGGTCATTCAAAATGCTAGAGGAAGGGACATCCTTTCGGGGAGGGACTAGGTCTAGTACATCTAACTCAGAACCATGAGCTCTAACAATCAATGCATAGCAGGGTCTTTAGCTGCCAGCGGCCCTGAGGCTTTGCCAACCTCTTATGGTAAGGGCCACAAACCTATTTGGAATCTCATGAAACAGTGGCAGAAGGCCTGGCTGGGTATTAGGAGCCTGTCTCTTCCCTTATTTGACTTGGGAAGCACATTACAACCTCTCTGGAGATCCCAGCACTTGGAAATAAACCACTATACCCTGAGCATCATTTCTCCATACCACTAGTGGGTAGGCTGTGATTTATTCACTCAGCAAGAACATAAATCATCCCTCAAGTATGTTAGTCAAGCACCTACTATGTCTGAGAACTTGAGATAAAAATGTAGGGTTGAGTCGTTATTGTGTGATTTCTGTATCCTTCGGCTAAAATGATGCTTGGAGAAGAGTCATGGGAGATGGAGTGGTTGGAAATGTACCTGAGCCAGCCTTAGGCAGAAGAATCAAAAAAAGAGAAGAAAAGGGAGGGCAGTTGGTGGGATGGCAATTTGGGAGCCAGTGGTGGTCCTTCAGGAGGGCATAACCAGGAGAAAAATGTCCAAGCAGATGTGTCCTGAGTTTGGTGGCTGACTTAGGGCAGAGAGCGATGGGGGAACGCACAGCCATCCTGTGGGAGAGGAGATGCTAGAGAGGCATTTGAAAGGGCAGAAAATGGGACTTGGTGGCAAGTAGAAGAAAAGAAGCAGTTAGGGATGAACTCAGGGAAGCTGGTAGGTAATTATCCGTGATGGGAGCAGGCTGGGAAGGGAAGCTGGAGATTTTAGTAAGGGGAAGTCCATGCTCTTCCTCAAATGTCTATGTCTTTCTTAAGTGGAGCCATATTTGAAACCAATGGGCCCTAAACCATAGGGCTAAGGTCAAGGGCCCCTATGCTGCACTGGGGGAAAGTAACCATACTCCTTTGGGCAGGCACCTACCTATCATAGTCCATAACGGAGATGAGCAGGCTCACTTGATCCATGTTTTCTGGGGGGATGTCAAAGATGATGGCCTCATTGTAGACAGGGTTGAGGGTGTTCTTCTTGATAGTTGTTTTCTTCTTTTTCAGTCTCCGCCCGTCACACAGCAGGGATACTTTGACATAGGGATCTGTGCCAACGAGGGCAGTGCAAGACATGGTGTGTTAAACAGATTATTGTTGTTTCTTTTTGACACAGGTTCTACTCTGCAGCCCAGACTGACCTCAAACTCACAACCGTCCACCTGCCTCAGCTTTCCAAGTGCCGAGGTGACAGGTGTGAGCCATCATTAGACAGATGTTGATCAGCATTTGCTCAGAGGGACCGAATCGCCGGACCCACTGCTGCTCATCAGATGGGATCGGTGGGTTAAGATAATTAAGTCACCTTGTATTTATGTAAGCACACCTGTCTCTGAGGATGCTCCACACTTAATAAACACAGTCTTTAGCTACCTTTGTATTCTTGGGAGAGTGCCTAATGGTGTGCCACTAATAGGAAAACTAGCCCCGATTTAGACAAGACACTTGTCAATGGTTATGTAGTTCCCAGCCCTAAATCTCAGCAGCACCATGGCTGGAGAGCTAAAAAAAAATTGAAGCTAACAAAAGCACTGTTTCTTTTACCTATACAGAATCATTTCCTCTGGAGTTTTGCCAGCTTTTTAACCAAAAGATAAAAGGGGTAAAAATAGGACTCAGTGCTGCCTGAGGGACAGCCACATGTTAGAACGAAGCAACAGTCAAAATGCTACTCTTGTCCTCCCCACTCGAAGACATGATTTTCAGTCGCACTGTCCCAGTAATCTCATTTCCATTTGGAATCAAGAAGCAGGGAAGTGGCCCTGCTCGCTGCTTCCCTGGAAGCTATTTCCTGGCTACTTCTGAGCAGTGAAGCAAAGAGGGACTGTGGCCAGGAGAGTGAGTGAGCCAGTCCCCCAAGACTCAGGGCAGCTGGTTGACATTTTATTTCTCAGTGGGATCTTGGATTCGCTCCATGCTGCAAAGAGATGTCATTTTATTAAACTCCCATGATCCTCCTAATCTTCTCTCCCCTTTAGCTTTCTGAATGGGTATTTCATGGTCATCTCTCTACCCTGAAATTTTCTACTCATCCAAATGAAGGGACACCTATTATATCTCATAGCACAGGTGTCTCAGTCACCATCATAATTAGTATTTATGCTGCACAGCTCAAGAATGAGGACAACTCGCAGGTAATAATAGCTTTGAGACCCTGACATGCTCAGACATCTTCTTGTCTAGAAGCCAGGGCTCATAAAAGACTGTTAGGAGGCATGAGCCAAAGTAGTCCCTCTCCTGGCCTTGTAGTTCTGAGATAAATAGTTGTGCCTCCTGACCCCTGAGCACAACTGGGCTTTATACTGTTTGGCATCATGTTGGGAAAAGGGCAGATGAAGGCTACACTTAGAATAAAAACTAGATACCTGTGGAGATGAACCCAACCAAGCTCCAAGCCTTGAAAGCATTCTCATAGACGCCCAAGTGGGCTGCTGACTAACCAGTATGACAGTGGCAGCTGTGCCTTAGCCATGGGGACACTTGGGTTTATGGAGGAACTGGGGAAATCATGAGGAATTTAATCAACCTCCTATCCTGGCCATACACTTTCAGGGCCCCCCGACTCTAGGGAGCATTCGGTAAAGAGGAAGAAGTGTTGAAAGCTTGTTTGCCATGGCTGTCTGGTTTCCACGGGCTCCTTTCCCTATGGTTATTCCCTAGGACATTGGACAGGTCATGTGAAAAGAGCCAAGACCCATGTTTAATATCCAAGTTTTTCCAGCAATACGTTGCCTCTCGGTTTGCACCACCTTGTTCCTCTTTTATTCCTGGTTCCAGACATTCCATTCAAAACACATTTCACATAAGGAAAATACAGGCATAGCCACTTGTCCCCTGAGCCACTGGGCCACTGCCTTCTTCCCAAGCTCTGTCCATCCGTGCAAAGAATATCTGGTTTATAGCATCGATGAGCAAATTTCTGCAGGGATGGCGCTCTCACCAGCATCTGAGAGGCTAATCAGAGAGCAGAGATGACTGCTCCCCAGGGTGCTTCTGGGAAATGTTTGTTGCATTTAGTGGAATGGTGGCCCCAGATGATCCTTGAGGTCTGTTCTTCTCTTTGATGCCCTGAGCACCAGGGGCCTAAAACCCAGCCTGTATTCCTGCTTCATTGTGTGGGAGTCATCAGAATTCAGCATTTGGAACTCGTTCTTGTGATAAGAGATGTCTATCATCAGGTTTACTTCCAATCTACCCTGCAAAACATTTATCATTGGTATCTCCATTTCATAGGCAGAAAATGGAGGCTTAGAGAGATTAAATGACTTGCCTAGGAGTTGATTCCAGGCCTGACCTCAAAGTCACTTTTGACCTCTAGATATAAAGCAGTATAAACAAAAGACAGCGGAGACAAAGGGGTTATTCCACATTTTTGTAGCATACTGCTCTTTTATTTTGTGCTACTTTTATTGTCATGGTTCTAGGAAATAGGCTTAGACCTATTTCTGGGTTCTGGATTAGTTCAGATCAAAGAGAAGGGAAGATCTTTGCTTTTAGAGGTCAGTGGCAGACCTTTATGTCTAGAATAGAAATTAAGGAGCTCTGTTTTCTTTCCACATTAGTCCAATGTCAGACCTGTCTGGGCTGAAGGCAACCACAGCCTCAAGCTCACAAACAGACGATGTACCATGAGGTACCCTGGGCATGCAGGTATCCACTTCATCACTTTGGACCGGGTACATATGCTTGATATAAGTTCATTTATTCACTGTTCACTTGCTCGGTCATTAGTCCACATTTAATGAATGCTTATGGTGTTTCATTCATTGCTCCAGAAACTTACACATCTCAATGAACAAAACAGGCATCTCTGGTGCAAAAAAGGCCCTAGCATTTACAGAACCCAGCTGAGATTTAACATGGGCTTCTAGACCCAGGTAGGGAAGAGGGGAAGCTGTGAGGGAGAGGTTAGAATTTAACATTAAAAACAATCCTTTCACCCTAAACCCTCTGATTTACAGCAGCCCTTATTATTATTACCTATGGCTTCACTTCGAGATCACTCTTTGGCACATCAATTTGATTACAACAGAGAAGACAGGGTTGGAGACCAGGGCAGCAAAATTCTATTTCCCTCAGCCGCCTTGCGAGTCCTCTGTGAATTTCTGTCCTCGTGTGCACTTATTTTGGTATTAAAATGAAATCTACATTGGCTGTATTGGGGGAAGCTGGCTTGCTGTTGCCTGAGAGCTTTTTCCCATGTCAGCAGAGGTTCATGACGCTCTCTGCTGAATGCTGATGTGAGTCAGCTGCTTTGGGGAAGAGCTTGGGGGCCCTCGGCGAGGGCTTTGGACTCAGGTGGGTGCTGCAGTGAGCTTGGGAGCCCTCAGTGAGGGCTTTGGACTTGAGTGAAAGAAAACTCAGCTTCCAAGCCCCAGACCAAGAGGTCTTTCTCCATCTTCATAAGGTGCACCTGAGCCAGGTGTTTTCAGCTGAACCATCAGCCTCTCTCTCTCTCTCTCTCTCTCTCTCTCTCTCTCTCTCTCTCCTCTGCTATAGTGGGTACTGAATCCACGGTTTTGTTCATGCTAAGCAAGTATTCTCTCTAGCACTGTGCCACGTACCTGGCTCTTGAGTTTTTGGAACAGGATCTCACTACGTAGCTCAGGCTGGCCTTGAACTTGCTATTTGCCTAGACTGACCTCAAACTTGCAGTCTTCTTGCTGTAGCCTCCCAGATGCTGGGATTTCAGATGCGTGTCATTATTTTTGGTTCCACCATCATCACCTTTTCCTGGCACTTGTAATCATATTTCCAGGAAAATAAACAGTAAGCACAAAGGAAACACTTGGGAAATTCTTTACTGTATTTTCATTAGAGTTCAGAGGTGCCTCCCATATGGTTTTATACTGATAATCAGAATCATTTGAAGAGCCTCTTGTATGGAGATCCTGGGAAACAAACCAAGCCTTTTCCCCACATTCAGCATCCAGATACAGCCCCACGTTCACTGGGAAATTCTATGGAAGGCTTCATTTGTCTTCATTTGTACATATCTCAGAATAGTTTGAACTGACAGTAGGAAAGGTTGTTTCTAGGCCTCAAGCTACTGCTTTGTTAACCCAAAATACAGATAAGTTCCCCTATGACAGTGGTTTTCAACCTTCCTAATGCTGCAACCCTTTAATACAGTACCTCATATTGTGGGGCCCCCAATCATAAATTATTTTTGTTACTGCCTCATAACTGTAATTTTGCTACTGTTATGAATCGTAATATAAACATCTGATATGCAGGATATTATAATGCAACCCCAAAGGGGTTTTAGAACTGCTGCCCTATGACAACCTGCAGGAAGGATTGAACCTCTTGTACCACGTCAAGCCTGGAAGTTTCTGCAGCTGCCTTCACACAAGTGTCTGGCTGGAATGGCACTAGATTTCCATTCAACTCAGCGACTGTGGTGCTAAGACCAATCAGGAGCTTTGCAGGGAAACCACAAATTCTCCAATTCAAATGCACCTTGCTCTCCATCCAATGCGTCCACCCCTCTGGTAAATGCAGTTTGCAGACTGTTGCCTCAGGTCTAGGTGAACCTGCTAACATTTACATTCCAACTCCATATAACTTTTGTAGGTCCTGGGAAGACTGGCCTTCCCAAAGAATGATACTAATAGTATCTTCTGAGTGCCTACAAGTGCGTAGATTGCCAAGCATATTCTGAATTTGACCAGTGCACAGGATTAACACTCCCAATTTGCAGATTAAAAAACTGCTACAATTCAGATCTTGAATGTCCCTCCAAGATATTGAAGCCCTGATCCCCAGCCTGTGGTACTAGACATGGTATAAACTCTAGGTTCCTGGGGACATGCCCTTGAAAGGGATATTAGGACCTTGACTCACTCATCTCCTTGTTTCCTAGCTATCATGAGGGGAACAGGTGTCCTGGTCATGATGATGTACTCTGTTACCACAGGCTCAAATCGAGAGGGTCAGATGACTATGGGCTGAAACCTCTGACGACCCCGTGAGCCACACAATCTCTTCCTCCTTCGAGTCAGTTTGGCAGATGTCTGCCCACACAGAAGCAGAACACTAACACAGAGTCCATATCTTTGCGTAGGGAGGAGGCGGCAGAGGTGGGAGTCAGATGCAGGCAGTTTGCCCCTTAACAATAGTGGCAATTCTTGCCCTGAATACATTTCTAAACCCTATGGTTTGGACTTTAGGGAGGCCAAATGATAAGCCAGGAATAAGAGATGTACCTGAGTAGCCTGTGATGTCCATTGCCTTGAGATTTCGACACTTGATCACTGTGAGGGTGAGCCTGCCTGCTGTTGGCAGGTAGCAGAGGGAGAACATGATCTCTCCCAGGTCCACACTTTCCTGCAAAAGAAGCAGATGAGAGAGCAGGTGAGGGGTACTTGCTTTGCAGGTAATGGTTGTGGGGAACTCTGGAGCCCAAAGTGTTTGGAACTGCAGTAGTCAGTGTGTTTAAGACCCAAGGGACTGGTCTCATCTGGGGTAACCAGGAACAAAGGGCAGTGATTACAAAGATGCCCCTTCAAATACTCACCTCTTCAGTGTTCTCTCTCTCTCTCTCTCTCTCTCTCTCTCTCTCTCTCTCTCATAATTTTGAGACTAGTTTGAGGCTGACCTCAGACTTGCTCTGCAGGTAAGGATGATATTGAACTTCTAACTCTCCCACTTCTGCCCTGAGTGGTGGCTGGGCTTACAAACTTGCATCATTGTAACTGGTTGCTGAGTTGCTAGGCAAGCACTCTGTCAATGAACTGCACTGCAGCCCATCCTTCTCGCATCTGATCAGATTCTGGATGCATCTTTGTATCCTGCTTTGGACACTAGCTCTATGCATGCCATGGCTTCAGACCTTTGGTGTTTATATGCTCTTGCCCTGTTACTGAGACTCTGATGTCAGTCTATCCAGTCATGTGGTCAGACACATTCTCCAGCCCCTGGATCGTTCTTCTCCCAGGACATCTGCAACTCTTTCTGCTCTGTTTCTCAGCTTATTTGTCTTTCATCACCCGGCTGCCTTGGCCTCAGGCTCTATCCTCCTGTCTAGAAGAAGACGTGCAAGGAATTGATACCCTGCTGAGGCCATTCTGCCAACCAGCCAGATGTACACTTGCCATCCCATGCTTTATGACCCGCCTCATCCGGTTTGTCCTCTTCCCTCAAATGTGATGATCCTTCAGAAATACACAGATGCTCTGCTGCCTCTCCCACCCCAGAATCATCTCGCCTAGGGATCCCTGGAAGATTCCGAGAGAGCAGAGAGTGTCCCTTCCTAGAAAGTCAGAGAATCTTTCTAGAGAGACAGCAAGCATGCCCATCTGTTGTAAGAGATAGCACCTCAACAGATTGCTCTCTGTGCCTGCTTCCTACTTATTGAAAGGGGGTACAGAGGCTTAGAATTCAAAGACATGGAACTGTCTCCCAGAGGTAAGTTAAAGGGAGGAGGTGGAGGAAGAAGAGGAGGTCAGAGTTGGAGGAAGTTCTGATTCCAGATGGGGCCTTCTACCTGTTCATTCATCTGCCCATTTATTCAGTCAAAAATATTTATCAAACACCTGCCATGTGCTAGGTGTTGATTTATAGAAGAGAACCAAGAGAGAAAAATCTTCACCTTCACAGAGCTTACATACTACTCTCATATTATTAGAGATA